ACTTTTTTTTTTTTTTTAACTTTTATAACAATGGTCTGTATACTGACCTCATTTACCTTAAAATGGTGAGCAACTGCAGCTGTAGACCTCAATCTCTGGTACATATCAAACAATTTAACCTTCTCCTGTAAAGTCTTGACTTCTTGGAAGCAATTCCAGCATCACTGGTGGCACTTCAAATGGGTCTCATGGTGCTACTCAAAGCTTACATGATTACACTAAACATAATGAAAATTACCCAAGAACTGAAAGAAATCTTTTACTGAAAAACTCCTCACATGCAGATGATCAAAATCACACAGCATTTTTTTTTAAATCCGCTTACAGGCGAGCCTGGGCAGTTCAAACCAGTGTTGCTCAAGAGTCAATGATATTATTAACATAGTTTCACAGATTACGACACGTATGCAATTCTGAGGCACACACAAGCTGAAAGAGTTCCAAAGGTGACCCTAAATAAACAAGCAGACAAACCTTCTAAAACACTTCTTTAATAGTGAAAAGTTAACAGGAGTCCTGGTGGTATAATGGTTATGTGCTTGGTTGTTAAACTGCAATCTGGCACAAAAACCCTTTAGTAAAGTTTAATGAAGAAAGAAATAGAATATAGAAATAAAAAATGTCAGTCTTTCTTAATTAGAAGGCTGCCAAAAGCAATGCCAGATAATTCCAGATGTGAGGTGATTTGATTTCAATTTGGGAGACTGTTGTATATTGGGATGTGGTTCTGCGTAATCTGACAAGAATGCAGGTTAAAAACTTAGAATATTTTAGATATGGGAAACATCTGGACCTGAAGGAACACTCGATATTAGAATGTCAGAATTTTTCAAAATATAAGGAAGTGTTTTGAGAGGTCTCACAATGTCTACTAGCATATATACATCACCATAAGAACTGAATCCAGAGATGCATTATCCAGTGGTGCTCTAGGTTGAACACTGGAATGCTAACCACAAGGCTGGTGGTTCAAACTCACCAGCTCCTCCTCAGAAATCCCATAAAGGATTTTGTTATGAGTCAGAAATGACTCAACAGTCATTTGTTTTTTAAAAATAGCATGTGTTAACAGGGGCCCAGACAAGTTCTCCTTTATGCCATGAGAACTTTGGTTTCTCACCTGCCCACATTAACATATCACAAACGCAAGAAAAAAAACTCAGTCAGTTTGAAGAGCATGATGGTAGGAAGAGCATGAATGATTTATCATTATATACACTATAACTTTGATGGTTCTTCACATGAAGCAGTGTTCCTTGCCCTTTCTCCTGAGATCTCAATACCTCCCTACTGAATGGGCCTTGCTTCTTATAGTCAGACTACCAATATAATTACAAATCAAAAACCAAACTCATTGCTATCCCATCAGTTATGACTCAGAACTGCCCCAGAGTGTTTACCAAAATTGTAATCTTTATGAAAGCAAAGTGCCACATCTTTCTCCTACAGAGCCATTAGTGGGCCAGAACAGCAGATCTTTCAATGAGCAACTAAGTACTTAGTCACTGTATCACCAGGGCGCTTTACCATACAATTATCTACACCTGAAAATCCCTATGGAGTCCTGGTGGGGCGCTGTGGGTTAATGTGCTAGATTACAAAGCCATTTGAACTGCAAGGTCAGCGTTTCAAGCTCACCAGCTGGCTCCTCGGAAACCCTATACAGGGTCGCTATGGGTTGGAATCAACTCGATGGCACTTAACAACAACAACACAAAGATCCCTATATTGTTCTTCAGACATATTTTCAAAATAATATAAAATTAAAGTTCTGATAACAGAGAAAACATAATAGGACCACTTTCAAATAATGTGTGTGTGTAACTTCAGAATTTCATCTATATAAAGTACCAGGCTAAACAACATTTTGAGAAAGTACACTGAGAAATCATGGCATCATCTTTTTCATAAAATAAAGATATATTCTTTCATATACTGTTTTTACTCAGAATATCTTGAGGTACATATAACTTCCTAGAATGCTTCTCAGAAAAGCATGAACATAGTATTAAGTATTTCCTCAAAAACCAACACACTAAAAATTGTTCAGTTATTTCTTTTATCTGTAGAAGTAAAATAGCTTGTACATAAGTCCTTAATTAATTTCAATTAATTTTTACAGTTTAAGCTATTTAAACTTTAAAATCAGAAGGTGGCAAGAGTAAGTTCTACTTTGACAATTTTCTGATGTTCCCTGATCCACAATCACTTCATTATGTTTTACTGTTACTGTGTATAGAAACTGGAGTACAAAGATAAGCGATGGAACTAAAGCAAATTCCCAATTATCTACTAATTAATACTGTTCCTTCAGAATCAACTGGAAAGTTGAAGAAAACAATACTTCAATCTTATCAGAAAGCCTTACTTTTCTGGGCTCTGCTAATTATGACTTCTTAGCTAGCAGTTTAGCTTCAGTTTCCTAAGAATGTCCTAAGAGATTCTAATTTTGAAAATTAATGATGCTCCTGACCCTTTAAAAATTTTAATGAATATCATTTGGTCTTTCATGGGTGAAAAACAGATTAATCATTATATTTAAGATGCAGGTTTCCTTCTTTAAGAAAACAAAATTAAGGAAATAGAAGATAGAAATAATTGCTACCAGCTAAACACCAACCATTGTTAGATTTTAAAAGCAAAGCACAATATAAAGTACCACTTTATTCATAGTAACTTCAATTTGTTACTCTTCAAAAATCACTTTAGGCTGGAAATCTTTATCATTAATAGTTTCCACAACATACTGTTTTAAATGCAATTCTTTTTGTTGGTGTTGTTAAGCATCAGCAAGTCGAACCTAACTCACAGTGATATTGTATAGGGTTTCTGAGGCTGTAAATCTTTACTGGAGCAGGAAGTCTCATCTTTCTCCCATGGAGCACCTGGTGGGCTCACACCACTAACCATGTGGTTCACAGTCCAGTGCTTATCCTACAGCGATATCACGCTCCCCTGCAGTTCTCTAAGTCTGTCATAATATAACAGATTCAAAGCTTTTTCTATTCGTGCGTAGTATAGATCAACTAACTTCTTGACAAGGTTACAGTTGCTAATGGATCCTAATTAGAAAGGCAACTTCATACCATTGGTAATTTCAAACTTAAAACTCTGGGCTAGGAGTTAGGAAACCTGAGTTCTACTGTTAACTTAGCTGCTGTTGCTTTGTAAGACTGTAAGCAAGTCACTGATCCTATTATGTTTTCTCGTTTTAAAATGAAGAAAATAAACTCAGCTATCCCTCTCACTGTTATAATAGAAGTGAGAGAATACATACACAAAGCATTTAAAGCTCGAAAGGGTTTTTTAAAATCACAAAGGTATTACAAATATTTTGCTGGTATGGCGCTGTGGGTTAATGTGCCAGACTGCAAAGCTGTTTGAACTGCAAGGTCGGAGGTTCAAGCTCACCAGCAGCTCCTCGGACACCCTATACAGGGTCGCTATGGGTCGGAACCGACTTGACAGCACTTCACAACAACATATTGTTAACAGACTCAATGATCCAAAGTTCACACGGTTTATTATGTATCAGTCATAGAACAATGTGTTCACTGATGAGAATAAATCAGTCTGATCCAAATTATACAGTTTTGGTTTTTACTAAATGCTTAGTAATGATAAAGAATTTTAGGAGTCCTGGTGTAGTAATCTAGGATAAGTGCATAACCACAAGGTTGGTTTGAACAGCAAGGATAGTGGTTCAAACTCGCCATCTGCTCTTTGGAAACTCTACACAAGGTCAGTGTGAGTCGGAACCGACTGGAGGACACTTAGATACTGGTCAACAACAACAAAGGAAGGTAAGTATATTTTTAATCTAAATCCCAGATGCTGTTGTTGTGAAGTGCCGTCAAGACCCCTGTAGATTGTTTTCAAGGAGCAGCTGGTGAGTTTGAATTGGTTCCTTACTCAACAGTCCAGTCCTTTTCCCACAGCACCACATCAGGACTCCAATTTCAAATAAAGAAGTAATATGAATATACAAGTATTTGTATATTTTGTTGTTGTGAAGTGCCGTTGAGTCAATTCTGACCCATAACAACCCTGTATAGGGTTTCCAGGGAGCAGCTGGTGAGCTTGAACCACCGACCCTGCAGTTCAAACAGCTTGCAATCTGGTGCATTAACCACAGTGCCACACATCATATAGTTAGAAACTGAGCTATTTTTTAAAAAACCCAAAGTTAGTATTAGATTTCTAATTTGGATATGCAAGGATAAAACGATTATTGCTCTCTTTCCATCGTGAAAATCAACCAAAAGCAACTAGACAAATGAAAAACAAAACCATAAGCTAAGTTACCAACAAAACTAGGCAAGAAACCACAAAGTAAGCAGAAAGCCTGCCAAAAACAATGGAGGTGAATCAGCGGTGAATGTAGCAGGCAGCAGATACAGAACGTTGCAGATGTCAAAAAGAGCAAAGTACCCTTTATGAAGGTGATGGGTACATCCTGAAGTGTAAAATCCTTGTTTGTGTAAGTGGAAAGAAGGTGTATGGGTTGGTAGCTACAACTCTCCTGTTTGTGGCTGGGTTCCAAGAAGTAGAGGGGGAAGCGATAAGTTAGGAATTACACAGACAAACCACACTCATATTTGCAAAGAAAAGTGTATCATTGCGGTTATCAGGGAAGAAACTTTGAATGAGGGTAATCCCCACAGTCTTCTATCTCCATTGGCTAAGGCAAAATAAAGGAAGAAACAAAGATCTCTAAAAGCCAACACAGAACATTCAAAAGAAAAATGCTGCTCTACAGCAGATGAAAATTGTGACAGATACTTGACCAATTAATCAATAAAAATTGATGGTATAATTAATTCCAATTTGAGATTTACAAAAATATACTATCATGAAATGTTACTTGCTAGAACAATAATGACTTGAGGCTTTCTGCTCCTGTAAAGACTTACAGCCTCAGAAAGTCTCTACAGGGCTGCTAAGTACTGGAACTGAATGACAGCACCCCACCATCACCACCAGTATAATCAATCACTCACCTCTGATTCACATTTGATTTTTTCTTCTTCTAAAATGCGTCCAAATTCTTCTTTCTGATGTTCAAATTCTGATTTAAGAAATGTATGTTCATAACGAAGCTTATTATATTCAGCTCTGTACTTTTCCACTTCCTATATTAAAAGGAGATTGACAGTTTTCACAAATTTACAAATGAAATCTGTACTAACTAAAAAACAATACTCTTTCAGATAGATTTTTAAATAAAGAGCCATTCTAAAATAAAGAAATACATTTCACAGGAGCATAAATGAACCTAGTAAAAGTTCCCATGACAACTCTCCAATATACAGAATTACTACATTCTTGAGAAGGTGCCAGTACAACAAATTACTATTCAATACACCTCATCTCTTCACTGAATATCATTAAATCAAAATATATACTGCACAAAAAACATTGACCTCTGGACTTAATAAAATAATATATAAGAATGTAGCATACCTTTCAAAACAATATAATCAGATGAAACAATAATTTTATGATAAAGTATAAAATACCTATGAAAGTTAGATCAGGTCAATTTAAAGTAGACAAAGGGTTATTGTAATATTTAGTACAGTAACTTAAGGTTCAATTAAATATTACCTTGACAGTTGAACTCAATTCAACACACCAGCCTAAATAATATATGTAGTGCAAACTCTCCTGACTAACAAAGATTGCATTCAATCCCTAGGGTGCTCCAACCCTGCTTCCTAATGTACCACAAAAGCTGCTGACACTCTGAATACTCAATAAGACCTACGCACCAGAGCAAAAAGATGCATATTTCAATATGCATCAGAAATTAGGGGATGAGAAAAGCATGTCTCCTAAAATACTCATCACCCTGTAAATTTTCGGTTGAAAGATTTCTCTTTCAGGCCAGTTTACAAACCAGGAAAGTGAGTTTCATGATTTCATTAGAGACATAACTTTTTTTTTTTTTTTATGTTTTTATTTGGCTTGATCATCTGCCTTACCCATGAGTGCTTTTATTTCTAAAAATAAAACCTACTCACAAACATAATGCTTTACCATGACAAAGAATACCAAAAAGATATTACCACCCAGTAAGACATAATAAAATAAATATTCCACAATTTGCTTTGTGTAATAGCAACATCGCTAGACTACAGCTTCCCAAAGAGTTCATTCTGAAAGCAACAATGGTCATTTGTATGTAAAAAGCTTCAAATATCTGTTAAATAGTTAACATATATAAAATGTCTAGCACAGTACCTAACATTCTTAATACTAACAATCTTATCCTGTACCCATTACTAAAAACTTAGTTATAAGGAAACTGGTCTCAACATGAAGTAAAACTGTAATAGATTTACTTTTTTGAGGTTACATGAAATTTTTTCATGCAAACAAATATTAACTGAGAAACTACTTACTATACACCAGAAACTGCTCTAAGAACTTTAGATATAAGAGTGAGCAAAGCACACAAAGGTTCCAGTTCTCACAGACTTTATTTTCTAAAAGGGAAAAAACTGATAATAAACAATAAACACAAAAAAATAAGCAAACTGTGTAGCAGATGAGAAGGTAATACTTATGGATGTAATAGCTCAAAATACCAACTGACAGGGAAGGAGTCTTCACATCATGGATCAAACCTACCCCCTCTATACACAGGGTTGATAGAGGCAGGCAACTTAGATACTGGCTACCTAAAATGGGGGGGAGGGCAATAAAGGCACAAAGTGACTGGCTTACATGTTTCCAAGTGGCAGTTTAGTTTCAGAGTATGCAGGGGAAGGTAGAACACTCACTGAATCAGTTTCATCTGGTGAAAGGATGGGGATAAGTTTCTTATAATTCAATAGTCGGTAATTGTTATCATGACTAATTGCAATGGTCACAACTGTAAAGGTAGACGTTTTGTAGTAGCTAATCTTACATTCCAGGAATAGAGGACCCCAGGACCATGAAGGGAGAAGAGCATGGATGCAATATGGGACCCTATCCAGAAAATCAGCAATATCAGAGGAGGCAGAGACGATGACATAGAGAGATAGAACAGCTGAGGACTCTATACTCATGGAAAGAGAAAGGCTGTGTGCTGGTGGCCAGAAAGCAGGCTTATAGAATGTGTCCTTTCATTGTTTAAATGATTAGATATTTCTGAGTGTTTTTGTGTACATCAAAAACAAGCAAAACAGAAGAAATAGATGCAAATACTGTTGAATGATGATGCATGGAGGGAATTATAATCATTGCAATGAAACAAAATACATTAAGATGACTACAAAAGCCAATGTTCTCCCATATGAAAAAGCACTCAATTCACTATAAAAGCTTTAAAATTTTTTTAAATTAATAAAAATTTTAAATCTTAAAAAAAAAAGTTAGAGCAGGGTGACAGAGGTTTAAACAGTGATTAAAAAAAAAGGACAGGTTGAAAGATGAAATGAGAGGAGTAAAGTTGATGGAAAAGAAAGCAACCTTTTAGCAAAGACACAAAAGCGATGAGGAAGTCAGCCAAGCAGACAGCTGGAGGAAGAGTGTTTAAGGCAGAAGTAACATCTAGAGCAAGAGCTCTTGAATTGTATCACTTCTGGCAAATCAAAGGCACTTCAAGGAGACCAATGTTGATAGAGGAAAAGAAGTCAGAAAAGTGATGCTACCCAGAGGCCACTTACTTAGGACTCTGAGTAAGGAGAGGAGATACTGCAGGGTGCTTGAGTAGGAGAACAGGCGTTTCATAAAACATGAAATTAATGCCGTTTTCTAAATAAACTACTTACTTCATCCAGATTCCGAAAACGCTCTCTCATTGGAGTTTCTAATTCTTGTTGTATTTGGGCTCTTAACAATTCCAGTTTTTGTGGAGTTAATACCTAATATGTAGAGAAACAGTAACAATTCTAAATATGAAATCACAAATATTAAAAGAACGTGACAAATTTCAAAGCTTTCATCCTAATTTTAACAATGGAATTCAATTAACAGACATTTTCTCAACTTAGCTCATTTTACAGTACTCGCTATATAAATATATAGAACCAAAGAACCATAGTTTGAAACAATACTTTCAGAACTTTACTTTTAGGCTCTCAGAGATGCAAAAAAATTCATTAATACGATAATTCAAAATACTGATCATTGTTATTATTAGCAATAGGAATGTTGGCAGCCAAAGCTATCATGTTGAATACAATAGCTGATATTTTATTTTCTAATACAAATAAAACAAAAATTCAATAATCTTGTTTACTAAATAGAATTCTTCAGATTTATTCTCAAACAGGAAAACCTCACTTTCACTGATTACCACAACTAACATAGGCTCCTTCTCATTGTTCTTTTATGTTGGTATTGGTGGTGTCAGGTGCTGACAACTTGGTTCAGACTCTTAACCTTATATGGGGTTTCTGAAGCTGTAAATCTTTATTGGAGCACAAAGTCTAATTTATCCCCCATGGAGACCCTGGTAGGTGCTTGTGGTTAACAGATCTTGTGATTAGCAGTCCAGTAATTATTCCACAGTGCCACCAGTGCTCAATTAATAACCAAATTGAAGACACAGTCTTTACTCACTATTGTATCCCCAACATTTGCCACCAGTGCTAAAAACACAGATCTAAAGGGAGGAAAATGTGACCATTGAGGCTGCATGCACCCAACACTACTGCCATGAAATAATCTTTAAACTTTAAACCATAAACCAAAACTATCTGCTAAATTATTCATTAAATCAAAATATGCTATTGTCTTTAAGTACTGTCGAGTCAGTTCTGACTCATAGCGACCCTGTATAGGTTTTGAGGAGTAGCTGGAGGGTTTATCTTAATTAGTAAAGTACATCTATTTTGAGGTGTGTTCTTTTAAAGAATTAGTTTGTAACATCAAATTGATTAAAGCAACTCGAAAGGTTAGATGGAAAGCTTAGGGAGCAGTGAGTTGAATATGTAAAGAAGAACAGTGTGAAAAGAGCAGTACAACTTGAAGAATGCAACCAAGGTCACTGAATTGTACATGCAGAAACTGTCAAAATGCAATGTTTTTGGCTGTGTATACTTTCACCAAAAACAATGATTGTAGAAAAGTCTACAGTTACTCTTTATATAGATCTTTATGAAAATTCAGACTTATGTTCAGTTTAATTCATTCATTTATTCATCAGCATATCAAATATGTTATTTCAAATATTTTCCTGAATGCCTACTGTACTTAAAGCAATGTGTATAATATACAGAATGCACTATTGCAGGCATACTATGAGCCTATTTAATCTCAACAACAATCCTAGTACAGAGGATTTCCTACAATTGTCATCTCCTTTTCAGAAAAGCTGAGATACTAACGAGAAAGAATCTAACTTTCTAAAGATCACAAAGACTCAAAATACATCTCTCCCTGTAAAAAGTTCAAACTCTGACAGGACAAATAA